CACACACACACACATATATATATATATATATATATATATATATGTATGTATATATACATATATATAAATATATTCACATAAGCTGTTGTAGATATGAATATAGCATATATACTACTGTCTATATTGATCTATCCATATATCCATATATGCTATTGTTATATAAATATTTGCATACATGCTTATATATACAATGTACATGGTACTTGCTAATACTTATACAAACATTTGCGTAAATGCTTGCAAACCCTTCCATATACAATCGAATACAACCCAGTCATACCTTCGTGCAATGATCCACACCACACATCCGCCCAACCTCACAGCTAGCTACAGAAGTCCAGGAGGCCTTCGCATACACTCTGCGTGCAGAGATGGGGTGTGACCCAGACGCCTACACCAACATGGATGAACTAGTCGAGGAGTGTACCGAACAGCTCAGACAGCTCGAGCTCAAACCCACCCGCACAGAGAACCCGATGATCTATCATCTGGATGTCAGTGCTATGTACCCGAACATCATCCTGACTAACCGATTGCAGGTGGGTGTTGGCCTGTGTGTGGTTTTTAGGGTTCTAGGGTTTAGGTGTGTGTGCCAGGGGATGTCTTTGTACTGTTATATAACTCGTGACATCATGTATGGTGTCGGGAGATTACGTCTAGGTGAACGCGTAGATGACGGGCTTGTATCCAATCGTAGCACTCTTCGCACTGGCTTCAGTATGTCTTTGCCTATACACGTCCGTTGTCGTCGTGTCTGTAAACTAGCTGCTCTTGCTCATCAGCTATCTCCAGGTACGCTTGTGCTCGTGTTTTCTGCCAGTACCCCTCTGCTTACTTCATCTGCATCCGAACACACAAGCATCACTATCCTAACGCACACACACACACTCTCTCAACTGGCACGCAAATCTGGTCTATAAATAGCCCTTCCTATCATACACACACACTCTCTCCCAACTTCCACACGTGCATATATGTTCTATAAATAGCCGAACACACAAGCATCACTATCCTGTCATACACATACACTCTCTCTCATATACACTCATGCACATCTGTTCTATAAATAGCCCTTCTTATCATACACACACCCTCTCTCCCAACTTACACGCGTGCATATCTGTACTATATATAGCCCTGCCTATCATACACAAACCCTCTCTCATATACACTCATGCACATCTGTTCTATAAATAGCCCTTCCTATTATATACACACCCTCTCTCCCAACTTATACGCGTGCACATCTGTACTATATATAGCCCTGTCTATCACACACACACACTCTCTCTCAACTTACACGCATGCACATATGTTCTATAAATAGCCCTTCCTAGCATACACACACTCTCTCTCCCAACTTACACGGGTGTACATCTGTTCTATAAATAGCCCTCTGCGCTGGTGGACGAGGCCACATGCGCCGTATGCGACTTCAACCGTCCCGGTGCAGACTGTCAGCGAACTATGGAGTGGATATGGAGAGGCGAATACATACCCGCAAGCAAACAAGGTAGGTATATAATGCTGAAGGGTGGTACGCTACACCTTACCCGCAAGCAAACAAGGTAGATGTAAAATACTGAAGAATGATACGCTACACCCATAGGGCTGTGTTGTGAGGCGGGCTCGTAGAACGCACTACATAATGAGAATCTCCATCAAGAGTAGCTAAACTTGCACTGTAGAAGAATTGGGAAACGGCGGAGATCGCTGCGTGCGCAAGGTCAACCTGTACACAAACTTGCTGGTATATTGCCATTCCAGTCCTAATCCTTCCCACTTTCGAATCAAAATTTGGAATCGGGATCGGCAGATTATAATCAGATCAAACAGCAGTGTGAAAACGAGACGCACCCCCCACCATCGTACAACAAGGACGGCCCTCGCAGAAGGGTATGTGTTCAACTGTAGCGCTTGCTGAAACCGACTGGAAGTCCAATAGTATATACACGTAGAGTGTGTCCATGCACGCATGCATGTTGGTTCTGTGTACAGGATGGGTTGGGGTCTGCGATGTTTCGGTTGCGTTTGTGAGGGGAGTGGTTACAGAGTGGCCGAATGCAATCGGGGTTTTAGGATCGACTCACGCTTGTGTGTCGTGAACTACTAGCACTCTCAATGCAGGTGTAGGCTCTACATTAACAATATCTCAGAGTATACCAATATACTGGCAGTTAGCAGCATACATACATACATACATACATACCCAGTCCACTTAGTAGTTAGCAGCATACATACATACATACATATATACATATCTAGTCCACATAGTAGTTATCAGCATACAAACACACATGCATACATAACTTATCCACTTAGTAGGTATCAGCATACACACATATATACATACATACCAAGTCTACTTACAATCGAAATCTTTCTGTTGCTATGAAAAGTCTCGTTGAGGGTGAATAACACTGCATGCGAGTGTTGCGATGGAGGAGGTTATTCGTAGTCGTAGTGAATTGCAGACTAAGATATACGTAACGGGATCAGAGAGTGGCAGGGGCTTCGGGGCGAGTGGCAATGCGGGGTAGCGCTCCAGCGGAGTAGTCTATTTTTAGCCGTCTTCTATATATAGCTTTTACCCAACAATGTATTTCTATACTGATATCGAGTGTTACTTTCCATTGCACCTCAGTTCCACGAACTCAACGCCGTCGACCAAGCGAACACCATCAAGAAACGACTGCAGGACTACTCAAAGGCGGTAGGTGACAGCGGATGGGCTGTCATTCTGTGTGCGCTGCTACACGCTGTTGCATTTATGTTTTCGCATAACAGTATATATGGGTACAACACACACACACACACAAACACACACTCACAAACATATATACAT